AACGCTTTTCAGTAATAAGAACTTAAATATTGAATCGATTATATTAATTTGATATTTTAAACAAAAAGAATTGGATATTAAAAAATTATACGAAAAGTACTATAAATTACAATTTTTGCATATCAATATGATGAAAAAATACATCATAAAATATTAATCAATTTTTTTATAGTTTGACTCTAAAAAGGAAACTATTAGCATTAAAAGTAGACGGAGGTAGTATAAAGTTTGGCATAAACAAGAGATTATAATAAAGAATATATAATTAAGGCCTTTCTTGTTTCAAAATTTTATGGCATGCAATTTTATTTATTAAACGAGAAACGAATAAAATAACTCTTAACTAAAAACAACTTAGACCAATAAATTGGATAAAAACAAAGTCATTTTCCTAGACAAAGTTGGTGCACGTACATACATATCCACTTGGTATATATAGTTTAAGACTTTCTAATATACACACACGGCAATTAACATTATTTACTTAGAACTTATTGTAAAAACTTAATTTATATTTCTCCGGATCATATATTTATCTTAAGAAATTTATATATATTAACAATCTGTAGTAATAATGAACCTGATTATTATCGTCGATTTTTTAGATCAGAATCTATATATAAATTTAAAATCTTAAATCTACTTTATTTAAAATTTATCACACTAAAAAAAAACTCAAAATTAATAATAAGGTACTCAAAATTAATAATAAGGTACTCAACTACTATCAAAACATGATATGTACTATGACATTTGTATTAGTTGGAACTGATTAATTAATCTTATCACGTAAAGAAATTAACAAAAAAAAAAAGAGGTTACTTGTAGGTCGAGAAGTTTCCACAGAAAAATTATACTAAAGGCAGTATGATTAATTTTTGTAAACATGACGCGTGTCTTGATAAGAACATTTTTTGTTTTTCATTCGATGTCTCATATAGAGGTTCGATTAAATTTAAATTCACGTCAAAAAGTTACATATTGAGAAAGCGGAGAGTGTTAATTTCTCCCTAACAGAAACTACTTCATACCTAAGAAAACTAACACACGAAATCTTTAACTAAAAATGAAAGAATACTTATCGATTCACCGCAATTTTTTCGCGGTGATAAAGAACATTTTCGTGTCTTGTAAAAGTCATAGTGATGTGATGAAATAAACAAGAATGACCCACAGAAATAAAGTCCATCATAATATATTATTGGCTTCTGATTGGTCCACGTTTTTCACTTATTATTTTCTTGGATAAACTATGCTATCTTCTTTTGTAGCATTTAAAATTTATAATAAATTTTCCTTATCAATGATTGATCTTACGAATACTCGACGTGTCATCATCATATAATTGAGTTTGAGCACAAATTTAAAAAGGAAAAAAAAATTGAACTTGTGGTTCAAAATTTTTTATATGACATTTTTGTGATGATAAATATATATAGGGGATCCAATATATATATTATTAGTGGTAAAGTAAAAAAGAAATTAAAATTAAATTATTTCAAAAGATAAAAGTCAATTTTTCATTTAATAAAGGGAAAATGCATAAGTACCCCCAACCTATACCCGAAATCCTAGAGACACACCTAACCTTTACTAAGGTCCTATTACCCCCCAGAACTTATTTTATATGTAATATTCTACCCCTTTTTGGCCTACGTGGCACTATCTTGTGGGCCCAGCGCATGTTGACAATTTTTTCAAGGATAGTGCCACGTAGGCCGAAAAGGGGTAGAATATTATAGATAAATTAAGTTCAGGGGGGTAATAGGACCTTAGTAAAGGTTAGGTGTGTCTCTGGGATTTCGGGCATAGGTTGGGGAGGTACTTATGCATTTTCCCTTTAATAAACAAACAAGTAACGCGATATATTTAACTAAATAATATCATCAACTGTAAATGAAAAATTACTATAAAAATTTATAAACTTTAAATCTAAAATATGCCTCTACAGATAGAGTCTCATAGTCGTCTTTATTCAAGTGTTACTAGTTAATTATCTGTAGATTATATTATAACTCGTGCTTCAAAATTCTAATAAATTTTGAAAGATACCATATCTACCAATCAATAAAATGGGCTAGAAAAGTTGAAGAATATATACCTGATAATTGGAAAGATTACTTTAGAACATAGTTTTGTAGTCCTTAAAAGAGAAAATGGTCTAAAACCCTCCCAACCTATACCTGAAATCCCAACTACACGCTCCAACTTTACGGGAGTCCTATCACCCACCTGAATTGTTTAAAATTGTAATAATTACACCCCTAAAAAGCCATAACCAGATCTGTGTTGGCCTGTGAACTTCACGCGTTTTACAGGTGAAAATTCAACTAATTTATTTATTTATTTCAATTTTTTTATAATTCCTTTCCACTTTTTCCTATACTCTCCCAATTTCTTAAAATCTCTTAGGTAATTTTTTCCCCCAATTCTTTCAAATTCCTATGGAATTGTGAGAAACAAAGATGAATATCGACCTTGTTGTGAGAACAGAGGTAGGTCTTCATGGTGGTTGTCTCGGAATGGGAGAGAGATAAGAGGGGAGGGGAAGAGGAGAACGGGGTTTTGTTGGTGGTTTGGGTTTCGCCAGAGGTGGCGACAGTGATGGTTGATGGTCGAGCAGCAAAAGAGGGAGAACAAACGAAAGCACTAGCAATGCCATTAATGGAGGTCAATTGAGATTGAATCCTTTCATTTATTAATTGAAATTCAAGATTGATAATTAAAGGATCTAAAAAAAAAAGAAAAAAACATTCTCATTTGGGAGTTCAATTGAATTTGATGTAAACCCAATTTAATTTTTGTATGAGAATTTGGTCTTTGTTGCTATGGAGAAGAAACAATGGTTTATTTTAAGGGTGGGGAAGATGACTATTTTCTCGGAAATTTTCGTCAAAATTCACCTTCTAACGCGCCTAGAGGAGGTGAGAACACCTCATATGATAGGTCAGCGTTTAAGCGTGTAGAAAATAAAGAAATATAAAGTTCAGGGGGTAATAGGACACTCTTAAAGTTGGAGTGTGTAGTTGGAATTTCAGATATAAATTGGGGGATTTTAGACCATTTTCTCATCCTTAAAATAACAAAGAAAATTATGAGTTGATTATAAATGAGTAGACACTTACGATTAATAATGTTATATAGATCATATCAAGAATAATTCGATATGACAAATAAAGGACATTGATATGACGGAACTAATATATACTAATTTTCGACAAATATTTTTTAACATTTTAATCAATAGCTTCGTACGTTTGATATCTTGTCGAAATTTGATTGGTCAAATAAATATCTAGTAGTTAGTGAAATACGTTGGAAATTTTTCAACAATTAGTTTTGTGGTTATATGGAAACTTTGATGATTCATTGTACTGAAAATAATAATTCAATCACAGTGCATGTCAAAAGCTTTATTTTATTCAAAAAAATAAATATATACGTTATTATTTTATTTAAATTTTAAATTGTTAGAAAGAGTATAGTTTTATTTATTTAATTGTTTTATTTATATATGCGAGTCAGAATCTGTCAAAAACAATTTATTTATCTCCGAGCTACAATTAAAGTAAGATATTTTTTTCAAACCACATTTTATTTTATGAAACTATACACAAGTATAATTATAATCGATAATTTAATTTTATTTTATAATTTTTGCATTCACAGCTTTGCCTCATCTTAACTAATTTCATAGGATATTTATCACCTTTGTAACAGATATCAAATAATTATATCCACATTTAAAATTACTACAGTAAAACAAATATCACCTAATATTTTTATTTCTATTAAATATGATTCTCTGCTGAGTTTATTGTTGATGCGTCAAAGTTTGAAAATGATTTCTATAGATAGATTTTCAATAGTTTTTACAACATTATTAGATTTCAAATTAGTACTACTAAACTAGGTTATAGATACATGCTCTATTATTGTTGCTTTTATTTAAAATATTAGTACATAATCTTATAACCTTATCTTATTAGACCCAAAATTATATTGGGAAAATAAAGAGACACATAAAATAAAAGATCATAGGCAGCTGCTAATAAACTATATGAACCCATGCAATAATTTTATTGGGATCCTCCATTTGATACTTTTCATGAAGGATCACGTGTACATTGAATATATATGTTTGTGCAAATAAAATAAAAAGAAGAGACAGAAGAAGTAAAAGTCAATTTATTTGAATTTTATTCTATCTAAACAGCTAGCATTCAACTTATTTCATCCATAAAAAGTCTATCATACCAAGTCAGATCTACCATATAATAATAAGTTTCAATATTATGGATTAATTCTTATAATCCATAAAGTAACTACACACATTTATGAGTTATAAGAAGCTTAAATTTTTGTAAGTCTTAACAAGTTGTAAAATCTTAAGTATGTTATGATCAAAATTAACTTATATAATTAAATAAAGTAATTTTTTGTCCATAACTAGAGCGAAACTCCATTTTTCAAGGAGATTTATGTGCATTTTTTTGGTTACACTTGTGTCAATTCAAGTTCTGAACTACCATATTTGGCTAAAGGGGTTCATCTGAATCATCTTTAAAAGAAAAGTATATTTTCTATACATGATTATAATTATTTTTTATGTGTATATTAGATACTGAACACTCTTCAACTTCTTCATAAATTTATTTCTTTGTATTTTAAAATTTCATTAATGAAAATTCTAACTCTATCACCACCACAACAAATAAATCCTTCATAATTGTATACTTTTTTTTTAATTTCTCACTGAATGTCCGAAACTCACATTGAAGCTCCTAAAAATGAAACAGTCTCACTAATGCACCACTAGCCCGTCTCCATAATTGTATACACTAATGATGGTAAAGTGTTATCTAGTACTACCAATAGTACAAAAACCAAAAAAAAATAATTAATTAAAACAAAGCTTATCCAATAGTACAACTCAATTATATATATACCCCTTAACTTCAATCAAAACAAGAACACTTTTTTAACTTACTCACATACCTAACAAATAACAAACCAAACACTCTTTCTTTTTCTTCTTCATCTTTTTCAATATTTTCTTCCTTCAACAACAATGGCAACAACAACAAGAAAAAACAAAAATTTCCTCTTCTTAGGTGGAAAAGACAGAATTACCCCTCTCCCATCAAGCACAAACACCCTCCAATTCGAATTTGATGAAGCTGAAATGTGGAGTAATTCGGAAGAAATTAATAGTTTTGAACCCAAATTATCAATACCAAGTTCAAGATTTTCAAAGAAAACGACGAAAAAAGGCGAAAGAAAGGCGAGTAATGCGACGTCGTTGCCTGTGAATATACCTGATTGGTCAAAAATATTAGGTGATGAGAAGGGTAATTTGGGAAAAAATATTATGTTTGATGATGATGGAGATTCTGATAATGAAAATAGAATTCCACCACATGAGTATTTAGCAAGAACAAGAGTTGCTTCATTTTCAGTACATGAAGGAATTGGAAGGACATTAAAAGGAAGAGATTTAAGTAGAGTTAGAAATGCTATTTGGAAAAAAATTGGTTTTGAAGATTAGTTACTAATAGTGAAATTTGTTTTTTTTTTTTAAGGGGTAATTATGAAAATACGGCGTTTTGAATCATAGACTATTGTTGCTGGAATGGAACAAAGTTTTTTTTTATTGGATTAATGGGTTAATTTTTATTTTTTTTGGTAAGTTCTTTTGGGGTTAGAATAGATTTGATCCTATGTTTATTGATGTTCATCTTTTAGTTGTGGACTTCAATGAGGATGTAATGTAAGTTTGTGTTATTAGATTTTCTAATTAGTAATTTGTAATTGTTGATGAGTTTTTTGGGAATTGTATTGTATTTGTAGGATTTTAACAATATATGTAGTATATTAATTTAATTTGTGTTTTTTTCTCATATACATTGTTCTTTTGCCTTTTTCTTTCTAGGGAGGAAATTAATTATAAAAATGAGGAATCAAATTTTCAAAGCCAATCAATCGAATCGCTAAGATTTCTCAAACATTATTCTTTCATCTTTCTTGCTTTGGGGTAGGTACTTTTTCTTTTAATTTTATGACACTTATAGCTAGTAGGGATGATTTCTGAAAAAGTTTTAGTAGTATTTCCTTTTAGCAAATTATTATTATAAATAAAACAAATGGTGAAACATAACTTATGTAGTTTTGTTCTTGGTTCTATTGTTGTTTCTTGTGGTTGTAGTAGTTACATTTTTGGGTGAAGATAGAAATTAACGAGATGAGATTTTGAAGCAATGATAAAATTATTTTTGTGTAATTATAGATTAAGAATTCTAACGATGAATCAAGTCTTTCAAGTTTGCATTGGAGGTATGGTCATGTCTGTATTACACAGCCTTCGGGTGTGATTCTTTTTTGCTCAAGTTGTTCTTTTAGAAAATATACATTGGATTGAAAGAGAGAAAGGATTGAAGTAACGATAAAATTATTGTTATATTATTTACAAATTATGAATTCGTTCTGTAATATTAGTCATAATATAATATTTACATTATATATAATTCTTTTGAATATGATCTTTCTATAAATTTTATAAAATAGAATTACTTTGTGTATCAGACTGCTTTTGGATAGTTTATAGTGGTAGGTAAGAAAACAACATATTAGCTTTGGACAATCCTTTGAAGCAAAAATCACATCACACGCCACCTAAGATAGGAATTTTTCTTATTTTGTTTAATCTTTAAAGAAATGATAACTTGACTTGTTTGTTTGGATATGGACAAATTTTGTATCATGTGAACCAATAAATTGACCTTATGTATTTGTATATAATGAAATAATTTTGAATAAATACTGAAATTGAGGTCATATTCAAAGTATTTTAGATCATTGTGAACACTCTTTCTACTATTCTTCCGTCTCTATTTACTTGTCAAATATTTTCTAATTTAATTTTCATATTATTTGTCAGTTTTGATAAATCAATAAAGGATAAAGTGAGTAAATATGTTTGAGACCCCATCAATTAATAAGAGTAAAATAGTAAACTCATCAATCATTATTTTCTTAATAGGTGTACCTAATCAAAATTTGATAAATAAAAAGGAATGGAGAGAATATTCTTTTAATTTGAAATTTGATATCTGTATTAAAGTTATATTAATTCAAATTCTCCTTATCAAAGATTTTTTTATACTCGAGACTCGAATACGAAACTTCTAATTAAAGAAGGAACAATCTTATCTGAAATATCTGATTAAGGAAAAAACAATGATATACTACACCACATCTTTTGATGGTCTCTTTCTATCATTTTCATATCCCTCTATCTTGTTTTAATTAGACAATAGTTTTTTTATTTTCTATTGGCTGGTATATTAGTTGTACTTTCGTGTATTTATCTATGACACATTCTTCTCAACCTTGTCACTTGGATTTTATTTTTTATTTTTTATTTTTTTAAAACTAACCAATAATTGAGTGTCAGCTCATTTTACAAAAATAAAATAAAATAAAAGGATTGCATTCAATTTATTTGAACCGTTTCAAAAATAATATATTTTTATATTGTTATTAGATTAGATATAGTAAGACAATCAAAGAAAAAGCTATTAAATGTGAAATCTTGATACAACAATTTTTTGTGTTATTAGAGGCCTAATTATCACGACTCTTTCTAGAAGATGGTTATGATGTCAGGTGTTTTTTAGGTGTATTAATTTTATTGTTATAATAATAATTTTAAAAAAAAGTTATTGAGTGAAATTTTATAAGTAAGGGTTGAAAATGATAGAATATACATAAATTTTATCACCATCTTGTGACGGTAGAGAAACTGTCTCTAAAAAATTCCCCGACTTAAATGCAGCAAATCCAAGTACAAGGAAAAAGAAAACAATGTAAAAAACATAGCAACTAATAAGGGAGTAGTGCAAACCCTACAACAAAAGAAACAAAAACAACAAAATATTCGACTATCAAAACAAAATAAATATTAAATATCATACGATGATAAATATAACAAGAAGTACAATAATACAACAGTATAACAAACAAGACACCAATAAGCCTAACCTCTCGAAAAGCGAGATAGTACTCCACTAACATTTTACCCTAATACGTGTGTCGTACATACCTATTTATCTAAGATCATTCTCGATAATCTAAAGTTATTAATAGCAATATTTATATTTATTACCAAAAAAAATAATCAATTTACCCACAAACACAAAATTTTAATTTATTCGAGTTTGAGACGGAGTTTAGCATAAGGATAGTTTTATTTATTTATTCGAGTTTGAAATATATTATATGCTCACATATAAATCCACATACATAGTTCTCACTTCTAAGTGATAATAATAAAAAAGTGAATACGACTAAAGTTGATAGTTGTAAAATTAAACTCTTCTTACTAAAACTCACTTAATTAATTACTGTATAATTTGTAATTATCTGTTTGGTGACTTTAATTTTGTCCATGTTTAGAATAATGGAGGCCATTTCAAATAGATACGTCTTGTCATGAAATTAATTATAAGATAGTTAACCTTTACATTAATTAGTTACATAAATTTGACAAGACTTATCCTTTAACTAGTGGCTTAATTAACCTAAACATATTAACCAGGTGCTAATTAAACAATGGGCGCAGCAGCTTGTTTGTGTTGTATTAATCAAAGGTTAATTAGGTAGATTTACATTAACTATTATCGTAAGAAAGGAATCTAAATACTTCTAAACTTACCTCCAAGAGTGTATATATATATATATATTATTTTTCTCTAAGAGTATATATATCATGTTCAATTTATATTGATATATTTATATACTTGTTGATCTGTTTGTCCAAAATCTATTTTCAGTACATGATGGAATTGGAAGGACACTTGAAAGGAACATACGTAGACGTGTGAATTGAGCTGAATTTAGATAAATTAAAATGAGTTGAAAAAAATTATTTAAACAGTGTGGATTGGGTTAAAATAAGTTATCATAGCCTAACTTGTCCAATTTTTATTCTTTTTTTTTTTTAATTTTTTTTTTTCGAAGTAACTAATGAGAGTAAAATTTATCCTTTATTTTGTTTTTTCTAATTCACTTGGATTCTTGTGTATCCCACCTTCTTTCAAAAATAAAACTTTGTTTCTTTATGTTGACTACTTCAACCAAATATACACCTTTTTAATTATTTTTAGCCTAACCTTTCTAGTGAGCATAATTGAACTGATCAAAATAGATGGAGTTACTAAATAGATGAGTCATTGACGTCATTCCCTAAATTTGAATAGGGAACAAATGGTATTTGAAAACAACACTGGCTATATTTTAAATACTTTGTGTATATTACATAGAAGATAAATCTTAAACAACAATCCTTAAGTGGTTATTGGCGTACATAGCCCAACTCTACACTTCTTTAAGCCCAATACTTTTCCACCTTGTGTGGATCTTATGGAAAATAACAGAGCAACTTTCACAGTTAACAAACATAAAAATCATATTTGTATGTTATAACTATATTTTGCATAATTACGCTTTATAGCAAACTTTATGTTTTCTATGGAGCATCAAATTGTATAAATCGCTGGGGGCAACAAATTTGTATAAAATCGCTGACGGTCTCTCATTTGTATAAATTGCTGGCAGCCTTTCGTTTGTATAAATCGTTGGCAACCTCTCAATTCAACTTTATGTGTTTGTATATCTGCATAAAATTTGAATTTGTATACAATTGAATCGAAATAAAACGTTTGTATATCAAATCTCTCTCTCTCATTTTATACAAACACAAATTATACATTATATTTTGTATAATTTGTGTTTGTATAAAGCGAGAAAAAGAGAAAGGCAAAAGAGAACTGGGCAGAGGAAGATTTATATTGTATAATTATAAGTGTATATGACGAAGATATATGTATTTGCATATGTATATACAATTTTCTCTCGCTTTATACAAACAGAAACACATTTTATACATTTGTGTTTGTATAAAGTGAGAGAGGCGAGCGAGAGACTGACAAGCGAGAGAGGGAGTGGCGAGCGAGAATTTCAGGGAGAGTGACGAATGGCAACAGTTTGCTACGGGTTACAATTAAATCAAACTGTGGTTATAACATTTAATTTGAATTAATAGTTTGCTATTATATACAATTTTTCCAAAATAAAACTTATAGAAACCTTACTAGTTTTGGACCTAATTACATAGATACGCTTTAGTTTTCAATATTGCAAATCTTATCAGATTTTGATGCATTCATTTACGTTTCAAAACATGTATCTCGGGATACATGAGTCAAAATTGGGGTATATAATTTATTCTAGATACGCTCTATCCATAACAAATCTCGCTCGCCTCCCTCCTATCTCTCCACTCTCATATGTATTTGATATTCCAGATACATGTGAATCATATCAGATCCGTACAAATACATGTATCTGAGATGCATGACTATCTCACTCGCCTCATGATTATATGACTTGCCTTCCTTCTCATCTCGCTCACCTCTCTCCCTATTTTAGTTTATTTGATAGCAAAAATACATGTATCTAGATGTATCTTTCTCAATATAGGTAGAAAACTCTTAATTAAAAGTAAGATACGTAAATGTTTAAAAGTATAAATAGAATTAATATAATATGGTATGTATGTTTAATAAAGTATAAATAGAATTAATATAATATGGTATGTATGTATGTTTAATAAAGCTAAAGTTAGTTTTCTCAATATATATATATATATATAAGACAACAATAACAAAAGCATAATTTCCGAAGTGGGGTTCAAAAATGATATGACTTATGGAGATCTTACTCCTATTCCTATGGGTAGAAAGATTGTTTTGATAGATCATGGACTTAAATGATGCAAAAAGGCAGCATCAATTTTTTTAGAAGAATCAGTCTATGTCACCCATTTTTACTTTTATGTTTCTCTAATTATATTTATAAATTCATTTATCTTATATTTTGCATGAGAATCAACTTTATCATAATTTGGTCGAACTTTAGACTCTTCAATTTTAAACTTGAAATCTAACCATTAGACTTTGGTCAATTCCATCTTTAGATTCAAAAGATTGAAGTTTGATCTTCAAATCTCTCAAATATAATTTCAAGTGATTAAAATTTAAATAAATCATAATTATAATTAGTTGGCCAAATGGATATATATTAGACCTATAATTTCTTGTTTTGAAACACAATACTTGTGGTTCAAGTTTTTCTCAAAGAAAATGCTACCACTATAATTTATACAGACTATAGAAAATATTTCAATTGCCTAATAGTAGTTAATTCCTAGGCATTTTATAAGAACTAGTAAATGAATAACAATTATTCCTTCATTTTTCACCAAAATATTAAAATGTATTACTTCACGCCGAAATCTCTTGCCCTTTTATTATTTGAATTAAAAAAAAAAAATCCTTTTTTTATCCTTATATAAAATAACAAAGATCGTTTATAAATAAAGTATAAAACTAAAAAAAAGTTGCATAAGACTAGAAAATTAATCACTCCGTCTACTTTTAATTGTTATTATTTCTTTTTTTAGAGTCAAATGACAAAAACTTCGATGTATTATATAAAAAATTACAATTTATAATACTTTTCATATCGTTTTAAAGTATCTAAATTTTCTATTTAAAATATCAAATTAATATAATTTAATTTAACTTTGAGAATTTCCTTTCAAAAAAATTGACCAATCAATTACCATTGGCTTAATATCTTAGTTAAGTCAAAAATCAAAATGGACTTTAAAACCAATTACCATTAATCCCAAATTACAGTAGCTAACTTTTTTTTTTGTTTTTTTCTAAATAATTTTTGAGAAACCTAGAAATCAGTAAATGCAGAGGTTGGGAAGAAAGAAGGAGACGATGGGAGGAGGAAGAAAGCAAATATTCCTGGGACTTGGTCTTGTTATGGTGATGGGTTTAGCTGTTTACTTGAGGCTTTGGACCATTGACTACAATTTCTCATCTAGTGAAACTGAATTACTCAGGTACTCTCTTCTTCTTCTTCTTCTTCTTCTTCTTTCTTGCTACCTCAAAAAGATCATGTCTTTGCACCAAGAAAATGGTTGGAAATGGATTTTCACTTTTGTTTGGTTGGTGGGTTAATTGGGTGTAGTCTAAGAAACTGGAGGACTAATTGGGGATGTTGATTAGTCTTAATTTTAAGCAAGAACATTGAAAAAGCAATCACCTTTACTTGTATGTACCTCAAAAAGATCATGTCTTTGAACCAAGAAAATGTTTGGAAATTGATTTTCACATTGTTGGGGTGTTGGGAAAATTGGGTGTAGGTCAAGAAACTGGAGGAGTAATTGGGAATGTTGATTAGTCTTAATTTATGCAAGAACATTGAAAAAGAAATCATCTTTACTTGTATGTAGCTCAAAAAGATCATGTCTTTGAACCAAGAAAATGTTTGGAAATTGATTTTCACTTTGTTGGGGTGTGTTGGGAAAATTGGGTGTAGTTCAAGAAACTGGAGGACTAATTGGGGATGTTGATTAGTCTTAACTGTAAGCAAGAACATTGAAAAAGCAATCACCTTTACTTGTATGTAGCTCAAAAAGATCATGTCTTTGAACCAAGAAAATGGTTGGAAATGGATATTCACTTTGTTTGGTTGCTGGGAAAATTGGGTGTGGTTCAAGAAGCTGGAGGAGTGATTGGGGATGTTGATTAATCTTAACTTTAAGCATAACATTGGGAAAAAAGAACGAACACCTTTACTTTTATCCAAGTGTTGGACTGTACCTCAAAAAGATCATGTTTTTGCACCAAGGAAATAGTTGGAAATAGATTTTTACTTTGTTTGGGTGCTGGGAAAACTGGGTGTGGTTCAAGAAACAGAAAGGACTAGTTGGTGTCTTTTGGGGATGTTGATTAGTCTATAGTTTTAAGCAAGAACATTAAAAAGAAGGGAAAAAAGAAGCAGTCAGTCACCTTTGTTTCTGGCATTAGAATTAGAGGCGGAGCCATGATTTTAGAACGACCAGTTCAACTGCTAATACTTGAGTTTTAAACATAATGTATGTACATATAAAATTAATTTCTTAGCATAACTACACAATTTGAGCAAAAGCCTCCCAATGTAGGTGTAAGGTTTGTGTACACTCTACCTTCTCCAAACCCCACCCGTGGGATTACACTGGGTATGTTGTTGTAACTATTTGAGCAAAAACTATTGGTGATTGGGCTTCTACCTCCGCCCATGATTGGAATGTACCTAAAAAACGATAATGTTTTTGCACCCAAAAATGGATCAGCAAAATAATGGGAAATGGTTCTTCTCTTTATTTGTTTGTTGGAAAAATTGGGTGTAGTTCAAGAATTAGAAGGACTAGTTGGGGATTTTTGATTAGTCTTAACGCTCAATCACGAATATTAAGAAGCATCAACCTTTATTTTTGTATCTAGCCTAGGAGTAGATTTCTTGTTTGTGTTCAATATTGGAAACCTTTGTTTTAATGTTCTTGCTTAATCTTTTGTATGTACCTCAAAAAGATCATGTCTTTGCACTCCGAAATGGGTTAAAACATTGATTAGAAATGGAATTCCACTTTGTTTGGTTGCTGGGGAAAGTTGGGGTGGTTCAAGAAACAGAAGAACTAGTTGGGGGTGTTGATTAATCTTAATTTGAAGCAAAAAAAAAAAAAAAAAAGCAAAATCACCTTTACTTGTATCCAGCATTGGAATGTACCTAAAAAAGATTATGTTTTTGCACCCAGATTTGGACTTTTACTTTGGTTGGTTGCTGGTAAAATTGGATGTAGTTCAAGAAACAGAATTATAAGTTGGGAATTTGAATCAGTCTGAACTCTCAGTCAAGAATATTAAAAAGTGCCAACCTTCATTTTTGTATCTAGCACAGGAATTTGTGTTTCTTGTTTGTATTTTGTGTTGGTGACCTTTATCTTAATGTTCTTGCTTAATCTTTTGTATGTACCTCAAAAAGGTCATGTCTTTGCACCCAAAAATGGATCAAGAAATTGATTGGAATTCTGTTTTCACTTTGTTTGGTTGCTCAAAAAATTGGGTGTAGTTCAAGGAACTGGAGGAGTAGTTGGGGATGTTGATTAGTCTTAACTTTTGAGCAAGAACATTAAAAAACAAATCACCTTTACTTGTATCCAGCATAGAAATGTAGTTTTCATGTTTGTATTCAATTTTGATAACCACCCAAGAGAAGTGTTTCTTTCTTTTCTTGCTTGAGTGACCAGCAAAAGGAAAACCAATTTGAATGCCCCATTTGGACTTGATTACCAATTGAGGTTGGAAGTCGTACATCAATGTGGGATGGTGCATAGGACTCTATATATAGTCTTGGGCGATCCTCACCACATGAGCTAGCTTTTGAATTTGAGTTAAGCCCAAAGTCCATTTTCTTATCATGAAGAGAGCTAGACCCATCCTGATTCTTGGTTTACCCGATGTTGGCCCTCATATTATGTTGTCCATGCTCCAATAGGCAGGCCTAGGCGTGTGGGGGGGTTGGAAGTCCCACACATATGGGGATAGTTCAATTAGACTCTTTATATGGTTTTGGCAATCCTCATTGCATAAACTAGCTTTTGAAGTTTGAGTTATGCCCAATGTTTATTTTCTTTAGCAGGTGAAAATCATGTGAACTCTATTGCAAATGCTTTAATAGGTGACTTGACATGGATTTTGATTATAGAGGTGGGTTTTATTGGAATATATCAAACTATTAGAACTAGTTTCTACTAGAATGTTTTGTGAACATTGTACTGTTTTCTTTAAGTTGCCGATGCAAAACCGCTTCCAAGTTAAGTAGTGATTCAAATAAATAAGAAACTTTGTTTTCAGGACCAAGGTTTTTAATCATTCCACATTCCCAGCACGAGTCTAAAATTGATGGCAATCAAACATATGATCATATTTTAGATTTAAAATCCAACTTTCCCTCTAAGATGGTATTTCAATGCCATTTAATGCTTGGCTAAGTATATTGTTCTTGGTTTCTTGTAGGAGACAGTTCGATCTTGCCAGTAGAGAAGCAATGGACGAATCTGCAGTGTGGAGAAAAAGATATGATGACGAGGAAAAGATATCTTCTGCCTGCCAAAAGGAACTGATTAAGGTAGGCATCTTTTCATTCAGAATCAATACCATAGATGCTTGATTAAGTATTTAATATATATATATAGCGAAGTCCTTGAACTTCCGTTGTATATTATTTTTCTGCGACATGTTATCCTCTCTATTGACAATCAATGATGGCTTGAGTGTAATGTAACACCATAGTGCCTTATTAACCAAGTAATCTATCACTTTAATCAAGAATATTAACTAGGCAATCACATATGTACCAGCATAAAAAAGCAAATACATAAAAAGAAAACATTCACCTTTTCTTCTAGTTTGATACATCTGCCTAGAAAAATGATTGTATCGATGACCCTATGTCTAAGAAAAGAAATAAAGCATTGTTGGACATGAATGAACAACATTATATACATGGACTGGGCTGAATGGTCCACACGGACTGACCCATCAGTCCATATGTGAGATGCTATGCTAAGCTCTACCTGAGTAACCAGCTCCTTACACAAGGTACACAAGGACTTCCAGAAATGCGGTGAAAACAATCTCTCCTGGAATCCTAAATATGCTAGTAATAAATAATTATTACTAAGACAATATTTGACTCGTTTAAAGAATAATCGATTTTAAACCCTTAAATAAGACAATATTCGACTCGATTTGTGAAAGAAATTTTGCATACACTCTATAGTTTGCAGGTAAAAATCATTATTGAATACAATCAAAGTTGATGTAAGGCCCTTAGCTACTACTCTGACCATGCTGAATAAGTAGAATCAGTTTGCTGAGTTCTCGTTGTGGTTAAAGATCTTATCTAAAATTTAAGATGAATAGACATAAGTTTTGAAGTTTCTCCAACTTAATCAAACTAGTTGGAGAAGGATCAGTCTTGCTGCCAGGTCCTGTCGTGATCTTTACAACAATAGCTATGTCTTAGTCCAAACAAGTTGGGTTCGTCTATATGGATCATAACTGACAATATTTCTCCATTTAAGCTCATCTCATGTCATCTTACCAAATAAAAAGTGATGTTGTCCTCAAACGTAAAACTAGAATATTTCCTATTGTGTTTGCCAAACTTATTTGATTTTATTTTTTTTTAGTTTAAGAAAAAGATAATATTCAAAAAAGTGGGCAGACAGAATAGAAAAGTTTAATTAACCCAAGATTGAGAGGGACTTGTGTCTTCGGTCACAAGTTTGATCCCAATGCCAAGTGAATGAACAAAGTCTAGTATTTAAGTGGAAAATGACCCGAAGGGTGGCTTCAGACCAATTTATCAGTCATAAAAAAGAAATAATATAATAGGTCAATGAAGAGGAGAAGTTTTGAGCCAATGTTGAAGTCCCTTTTGCTCTTCGATTTCTTGTTCCTAATATCCTTGAGAAAATGGTCAAATGCTCCCTCAAGCTTTAGCCGTATTTCCAACTACACACGTAATCTTCACGGGAGTCCTATTACCCCTGAACCTTTTTTATATATTAGTTCACCCTTATAGGCTAATTGTCCACAAGCGTGAACTCACCTCCGTGAGGCACATAAGAACCAAATAAAATGTACACCTGGAGTCCAAATAAGCTTCCAACGGTAACTTTAAACATATATTCAATCATCTCTTTTTCTTTTATTCTTGAACAAAAATTAATATCTTTATCTTTTGTTCTTGAACAAAAATTAATCTCTCTCCTTTCTCTTTTGTTCTTCAAGGGTAACTATTCCACCATTTTCAAAGCATGAAGCTTGAATTTAGTTGTCGTAATTGTATCTTTTGCTACAAAGATTTAATTTAGGGTTTGCAATTTTCCCCAATTTCATATTGAAGATTCGAAATCTTCCCCATTTTTGTCTTCTCCTATTTTTTTAATTTTGTGTTGTTAGGGTTAGTAATGCGAAGTTGAATGAGCTATGCATGGAAGAATCAGATCCAATGCTCAAAGCCATAGTACGATGAAACATGGAAGTTTGTTGCATATGCAGACTTCTTGGTCGATGTCAAAAAGACGATTTTGGTCTTTCCCCTGCTATGGTGTATGTGACTTTCTTCTGTTGTTTGATTTTATTGGGTTTAACTGAAGTTCATGTTAATATATTGTTCGACTAAAAAAATCAAAACCCAACAAAATCAAACAAAATATTGTTAAACCCAACAAAATCAAACAACAAAAGAAAAGTCACATACACCATAGCAGGGGCAAGACCAAAATCGTCTTCCAGGATTTGACTTCGACCAAGAAGTCTGCATATGCAACAAACTTTCATGTTTGCATCGTACTATGGCTTTGAGCATTGAGTCTGATTCTTCTTCTATGCATAACTTATTCAATTTCACATTTGACATTACCAACCCTAACAACACAAAATGAAATAAAAATAAAAATAGGAGAAGATAAAATTGGGGAAGATTTCGAATCTTCAATATGAAATTGGGGAAAATTGCAAACCCTAAATTCAATATTTGTAGCAAAAGATACAATTACGACAACTAACTTCATGCTTTGAAAAATGGTGGAATAGTTATCCTTGAAGAACAAAAGAGAAAGGAAAGTGATTACTTTTTGTTCAAGAACAAAAGAGAGATTAATTTTTGTTCAAGGATAAAAGAAGAAGCGATGGTTAAATATATGTTTAAAGTTACCGTTGGAAGCTTATTTGGACTCCAGGTGTACATTTTATTTACCGGAAAGAGGGTTAACTGATATTGCTTAGACTTATCAAAAATACCGACAGGTGCATGTCAGATCCTCCAAAAGTAGTGCATTTTTGGAGGATCCTACATGGGCGCGGCAACATTTTTATAGAGTCCGAGCAACGTAGTTGCACCTCATTTGCTAGTCTTTTAACTTGTGGCCTTTCGTACAGATTAAGCAGTTGTTGAAGGAGGATGGTGCTGCTGGCATTAAGAAGAAGTTGGACCTGCTGCAAAAGGTGAACGTTCGAGACAATTTACTTGATGTCTTTTCTTTGATCTTTCTCTTCTTCTCCCCCTCTTTGACGCCTTTTATATGAGAAGTGTAAAGTTTGTAGATCGTGATAACCATGATGCTTATTATAATTGCCACAGTTCAATTTATACTTTTGTCTCTGATGTTCGATTTCACCAGGAAAACATTGATTTACTTGAACGACTCGAGTCTTTGAAACAAGAGCTTGAATCGGAGAAGTTGAAATGTAGCATGAAACATATATGACTTCACCAGAACCCTGGTGGTCCAGAGATCATTCAGAAGTTGACAACTTACCAAATTAATCTAACTCAAACATGGCAAGGAGGATTATGCTTCAGAATTCGCGCTACATTATGCTTTCCGAGAGGCATGCCGGAGCATCTGCCATCCAAATTTTTGGCCTCCCTAGAATACTCTCTTTTGTTAAGTGATGGTTCTTAGATTTTTCTAAGTCCCCATACAACATTTTATTAAATCTTGAATTGTATAGATTTTTAGCAGCAGATATGACCAAAAGGAGTTGAACCATCAGAGGTCACAAAATGCAACAGTGCTTTACAGCTGATTATCAAGTCTTTTACATTTTGTTATATATGTATGAGTGACATTCTCAATGCTGTCAAAAATCTGAAATTTGATTCATAGTATCTGGACTGCAAAGGTTCTAAAAAAAAGGCATAACACATGAATATGCTCTTTACCGGTAAAGATAAACCGCTGCTGATCTTGTGTGATGCATTCCTTGTCACTTTTTTTTAAGCATTTAAGGATTTTGATTTTTTACAGTTTTTTGTGTGTATTAGTTCATGAATATTTGGTACCCAACTATTTTTTGAAATCTTCTGGAATGATCAAGTGAACGATGCCCATAGCCTCTACAAGATCCATGCCACTTTTTAGTGTTTAGTGGTCACGAAATAGATATTCAAGATTTTCTCAAATTTTTGTGGGTATTAGTCCATAAATTTTTTAAAATATATATGACATATGTTTTTGATCCAAAATATTGTAGGACCATCCGTAATTGCCTAGTTAACGATACCCATTGCCTCTACAAGATCCACACCACTTTTGTTTAGCATTTAGGATCCACAATATAAAAATTCCGATTTTTTTTAGTATTTCACATATATTAGTCCATGATAGTGTGTCATGAAGGGGCCCCACCCAGTCCAAGCATGTATCTAGGATACTAGATATGCGAGATACATGTATTCGGTATGATGCATGATGCATCTAGATACACGAGCGAGATAAGCGAGATGGGAGAGAGGCGAGGGTATGAGATTTGTCTACATATCCTAGATACGTGAGAATTCACTTGGATAGAGTGTATCTAGAACAAATTACACCTACTTATGAGTCCATGGATCCTGAGATACATGTATCTGGATGCACCAAATCTGGTAAGATTCATAATATTATAACATAGCGTGCATTAAGTAATTAACTCATACACTAGTGTGATTTCTGTAAGTTGCGTACCCTTAAATAAATAGTTTTGGCCCATGGACCGACCTTGGTTAGGCCCCAATCAAGCCTCAAGGGCCTAGAGGTTATATGGGTCGGGCTTATAAGCCCTATTTTTAAATGGGCTTGAAAAATCATATCCCAATAACGGGTTGGGTTGAGCTGGCCCCATAAGCTAAGCTCATTTTGACGGGCTCTAGTCCATGATTTTTTGAAAATATCACTTTTTAATTGTGGATAATTCTTAATGACCTAATGAACGATCCCTCATAGACTCTACAAAATTCAGGCCCCTTTTTTTAGTGTTTAAGGATCACGAACGAGGTATTTGATTTTTCACAATTTTTTGTGTAAGTCCATAAATTTTTGATATAATATTACTAACCGGATATTTTTTATCCAAACTTTTTTGAAACCTTTTGCAATGACCAAGTAAATAAACACATTGCCTCTACAAGATCCACGTCATTTTTTTGCGTTTAGGAGTCACGAAACAAAAATTCAGAATTTTCTCATTTTTTTTTGTGTATATTAATTTATGATTTATCTTTTTTGGTATATGATTGACTGAATCTTTTTAACCCCAAATTTTGTGGGACCATTCATAAGGATCTAGTGAATGATAATCATAGCATCTACAAAATCCACGCCATTTTTATTGACATTTAAAGGTAATGTAATGTGAATTCAAATTTTTTCAGCTTTTCATATCTATTAGTCCAAGAATTTTTGGAAATATGCCCGACAAAATCTTTTTAACCCCAATTTTTATAATGACCTAGTAAACGATACCCATAAACATTCGTAAGCAAGAAAGAAATGGTGGACGATTTTGGTCGTTGAGCAATTTTACAGGTGTTTGTGTTGCAATAATACTTTACAAGGCTATTAATGTATATTGTATTTTTCTTAATTGGGAAGTAATAATAGAACAAACAAGGCAACAAATATTTAAAGAAATACAGATTACAACAATCATAAATTCAATAGTTTCAACCCAAAAAGGGAAAAAAATTAAAAAGCTAATACTATATATATGTTTACACAACACAAGCATTTTCAATTGAAAAAAAAAATGGCCTCATCTTCTCAATTTTTATCACTTCTATTCTTGCTCTTCAACTTATTTTTTCTAATTGGTTTTTCATTTGGAAATTTGATTCCAAATGTTTGCAAACAAATCAAGAATGAAAATTTTTGTGAAAATTTTTTGGAGTCAAATCCAAAATCCAAAACATCAAATTTGCCCACTCTTGAATATATAGCCATCAATTTGGCAATTTCCCATATTAATGCTACAAATGACAAAGTTAATTCACTTTTATTGGATGAAAAAGATTCAAAATTGAGAAACATTTATGGGAATTGTTCAATTAATTATGAAGAGGCAATGGATTTTCTTGGAGAAACACAATTGTACTTGGAATACAAGCAATTTATGGATTTGGGCTATTATGCTAAAGATGCAAATTTGGATATTAATTTTTGTGAAGAATCCTTCAAAAAGGCTAAATTGCTTTCCCCTCTTACAAAAAATAATTATATTTTGGGTTTGCTTATTGATATTGTTGTTGTTATCTCTAATATGCTTGTAAAAACAATATAGAAAAATTGTTATTTTAAGTTGTGTGTATTTCTATTAAAGGTGGTGTATTATTGCACTCTTTATCTTTTCATAATGTTAGAAGTTGTTTTTCAGTATGTGTTATTCAGTTGCATTCTATTTTATTGGCAATCGAAATATATTTAAACAGGAATGATACCATACTACTAGTTCACTTTGTACCTTATGAATGGTCCAAAAGTTAATGTTTAATATCATACATTAAACATTTATAATTTCAACTCTCTTTATTAATCGGTCAAACTTAAATCAATCCACCCATGATACCTTAGGGCATCAATTTTGTTCTCGAAATTAAATATACTGCACAAAACATGAATTATGCGGTTCGATCTGAAACCTCTTTAATTAATAACCCGACTATTTTAATTTCATTTTAATTTGGCTCAATCCGTCCATTAGAAAGTCACAATTTTTTTCTTGTTCAATGACTCTCTACTACATTTTGTTTCCATATTAATTTTGGAAGCATGATAATGTAACAATAAATTCTTTGGTAAGTGGATACTTTAATGGATTAAGTTTCCAAGTAGAAGGATGAAAATTATTCACTTTTAAATACTTGAAGGATGTTTTCTGCTAAGAATGATACTTTAAGAATGCAGTTCAAGTTTGGGGTATAATTTAAGGATGATTTTGACCAAAAACTTCAACTTTAGACATGAAATAATTCAGATTTTATTACTCTTTTCACACTAAAAATTAAGAGAAAATTACCTTTCACAATCACTCCATAAAAAAATAGAGAAAAAGACAACATATAAAAACTTTTTTTTTTTTTCTCAATTCATGATTAACACAAATTGAGCATGTTAAAATATGTTTGATTTAGCAAATTGATATTCAAAATCATTCCATTCAGAATTTTTTAATCCGTCAAAACAACGGATATCCAAATTTTCTATGTCAAAAGTTCAAAACCACCCACGCTCACGTCCAAGGCCATTCTCGTAAATCACCCTTCATCAACATGAGGGCCCATTAGTTAGGCCCACCTAGTCCTTATAATACTGCAGTTAATGAAATGGGCCCACTAGTTAGGTCCACAATAGTCTTGAAAGGTCATTTTCAAACAATTTATGATTGGGCCATTATTGTAGTGGACCTAATGGGCCAACTGATTAATCTCATCTACGAATCTCTGTCGGTCTGGGCCCATATGACATTCGTGGAGAGAAAAAGCCCATATACTGAATGGGCCGGACCCACTTCATTTGGTTTCCATCAGAGCATTGTAGGTAGACTCCTAGACGGTAAGATAAAAAAAGATTTAAGTTATATATATTGACATTTTACGTATTTTGTATCTCACTATAATTTAGCATACGATAGTAATAGAGTTGTTATTTATAATTATCTTATATCTTATATGTAGTAATTGATTGTATTAATATTTCTTAAGAATCAACTTACCTAATTGTTCGTTAATCAATTGCTTAAATGAAAATGGTTAGTGAATATATGGCATAATGTATAAAGTTCATTTGTAATATGTCTCAAAGTATTGTATATACTTAATGTATAATTAATGTATATTATCTAAAAAAGTAAACAGTAAATTCAATCAGTTATTTGTATAAAGATCCCAATATTTCTTACACCATCAATACATAATACATGATATGCATTTCATTAAACTCTTAAAAGTATGGTCTTTCTTCCTTTTTAACCCCATTTAAGTATTGCGGAAAAATTAAATTCCCATCCCTTTGTCCATAGAATTTGATATCGAAAATCGAAATTTCGAATTTTTCAAGTGGTATGTTTGAACATGTATCTTAATTGAAAAAAAATCAATCTTTTTCTCCCAAAGTTAATTTTGAGCTAGTTTTTTAAAATTTCATGGCCAAACAGATATTTGAAGATAAAATTTCAAAATCTGACTCAAAATATATGATCAAACGTTAGTTTTATCACTCAATAAGGATTAGTTTTTTAGGTGATGGGGTGGGGTGGGGGATTGTTGTGTTATAGGACAAACCAACCATGCTTCATAATGTTTTTGATGATGCAAAGAATGTGTAAAATAATGAACGGTCTCTCTCTCTCTCTCACCCACCATTTTTGGTGTTTGCTTTGGATCTATCAAAAGAGGAAAGATGAAAAAACAAAAAAACAAACAGAACTTTTTTTAGTTTTCTGCACTGATCGATAGATCATTTAACGTAAATTGTAAGCAAACTTAATCCCAAGACAACACATGCATATGCATGCGTCCTTTCCTCTCCTAAATTTCCCAACTTCTTTGTCCTTTAATTTAGCGCTCGTAATATATAAATATGTCGTTTAATTTGGATTCACCTGATCATATTTATGCAATTTTAGATATGTATATGTAGACACTTATTAAACCTGTATAAAGTTGAATAACTAGACACACACGTTCTACGTGTAAATTTGTGTGAGATACACTCAAAACAAATGTATTATGC